ATAATCATTATATTGTATAAAAATTTTACAATATTTTTTGTACTAAATAATCTATGCTTATGTTTATAAATAAATGTTATTTTTTTTGCGTTCTTCGGTTGCACCATGCTCGCTGCGAGTCCGCGCGGCGCGCGGCATGAAGGCAAAAGCACCCGTGGCAGGAGCGAAAAAAGTTAATAACTAGCGACTCCGTGCAAGTTTCCGTGTTTTTCTTTCTTTTAAATAATGTATTATAGAATAAGGATTGATATTCAATGTAAACNATTTAAATAATAAATATAGTTACATACATGATACAAAAAAGAAGGTAGTTCCATTTAATGGCANTTTATAAAATCTGATCGAGAAGTAATAAATATTTCCATTTGTTTATAAAAATTAAAAAAAAAATATAAAAATTTTATTTAATATAATGATTATTTGAAAAATTGAAACAATCGGGCTAAAGCGTGTCTAATTAACTATTATCGTGGAAAAAATCAGCAAGATACATGCTATGAATCAGTCGATAATAAATAATTACTGAATTCATAAAAAAAAGTTAATAACAATAACTCTTGGAAAAATTCGAATTTTGCAAAATTGTTCAAATTATATTTTTTTTTTGTGGTTGTAAACCGAATAAAGTGATTTGTTCGAAAAAATCTTGACCATCCAATTTTGGGTGGCCCACTTGAGATATTTTCACTCACAGTGAATGGTCAATAATAGTTTGGGGTTATATTTCAAAAATTTTCTTGGTCCGTTTGTACGCATTATGCGTAAGGAACAGTATCTGTTCATATTTCAACCAAATTTGCAAGATGTAGCCGAAAAAATGAGAGTTTCTGCTGAAAAATTACCCAAAACACACTGCACATGTTCGCAAAAACTGGATACAAAAGCAAAAATTTGCTAATTTGAAATGACCTGCACAATCCGCGTACATGAATCTTATCGAGAATTTGCGAAATCAACTAAAAGCGTAGCTTACTAAGTATCCAAGTCCGTCCAATGGAGTACATGAGCGGTGAAAGCAAACCAAGGATACATGGGAGGCTATACCTCCAGAATTTTTACAGAGATACACATTAGGTATGCCAAATCGCATCCAGGAACTAAAAAAAGCAAAAGGATGCTAAACATTGTGTTAATAATTCTTTGTTTCGTGAAAATTGTCAAAAAGTTATTAAAAATATATGAGTGCAAAACTGTAACATTGGCCTTAATTTACATTTTTGTCTGCTGGTTTTGTTATTGTTGTTGGATTGACTTCAAATCGTTATGAGATGGGGAGTAGGGGTGTACCAATTAGAATATACAACAAAAATATGGATGTTGTTAGAACTTGGAAAGATAGCTGCGGCTGAAATAAAAAGTGTTACACCATGTTACAGTTTTGCTCGTCACTGTATGTATGCAATTTAAATAATAAATATAGTTACATACATGATACAAAAAAGAAGGTAGTTCCATTTAATGGCATTCGTTGTTGTTGTTAAACATTTGACTTTTAATAAAATTATGACATTTCATCAAATTCATGCTACCTGATCACTAGAAGAAATATTTTTTTGTTTTAAGCAGAAGATTTTATCAGTACATTCAAAGATGTGGAATATGATGGACTTGAAAATTATGCCGGCTACATAATTTCGAAAATGGGGTTCATGACTACGAATGCATGAAGGAAGTGCTCAAAATTATACCTCCATATCATCGTTTAAAGTACGAAACCGCGTATCGTCGTTCTGCAAAACCGCGTAACTGACATTTTTTGCCAAAAATTGGATTTGCTCACACAACCTCATGGATCAAGCCTTATCCATTCGTCCTGAAATATACTAACCAGAAATGTGATTGCTTTATAAAAAAGAGAACCATTTTGAAATATGAGTGTTTTTACTCTCTAGAAAATAATTTATGCAACCACACATAGACAGTTTTGCATTTTGATGATACGCGGTTTTGTACTTTATACGACGATATGTTAATTGTTTATCGGANCTCATGGATCAAGCCTTATCCATTCGTCCTGAAATATACTAACCAGAAATGTGATTGCTTTATAAAAAAGAGAACCATTTTGAAATATGAGTGTTTTTACTCTCTAGAAAATAATTTATGCAACCACACATAGACAGTTTTGCATTTTGATGATACGCGGTTTTGTACTTTATACGACGATATGTTAATTGTTTATCGGAGGGCGGTCTGTTCAAGCCGACTTCAAGTTTTTTGTATACATTAGAAACTTTAAAATTTCAAAATTTATGAAATCTAATTTTTTGCAAAATCTGATGAGAAATTTAAAAGTAAATTTGAATTTAAATATAAAAAGGTTTTATTTGGGAAGAACATTCTTTAGAATTAGATTTTAAGATCGCAAGATTGCATTCAAAATAAGAAAACGAAAAAATAACAGCTTAATGCGCGCGTGGTTTTTATTATAAAATGAAAAGAACAATTACGATGACCTCTTCTTTAATAGTCTATATTTTATATATTTAAAAAAAAAATAGTGCGAGCTACGTAAGTAAAAAAAAATTACCAAGTACTCATGATGGTTTTTGATTTGAAATATTATTACATTGGTATAAATATTGGAAGNGTCTTCTTTAATAGTCTATATTTTATATATTTTTAAAAAAAATAGTGCGAGCTACGTAAGTAAAAAAAAATTACCAAGTACTGATGATGGTTTTTGATTTGAAATATTATTACATTGGTATAAATATTGGAAGGAAAATACTCCGATTTATTGTTTTAATATTACCAAAGTGGCAAGGCCGATGATAATACTCACAATTTATGAAACTTCAACAAATTTTATNCGCATCCAGGAACTAAAAAAAGCAAAAGGATGCTAAACATTGTGTTAATAATTCTTTGTTTCGTGAAAATTGTCAAAAAGTTATTAAAAATATATGAGTGCAAAACTGNACATATCATAATAATAAGGTGCTGCCACGTAGGGGGTGGTTGTTGTAATTTTGGCAATTTCGGCATATCAGCGTTACAGTAATGCCTACTCTATTTATTCCAATTTCATTTCTGGGCAAAATGGAACAAATAATGGAGCAGACAATTTTGTGAAAAAAGACTTTTTCTTTGTTTCGCTTTTGCTTTGACCTTTCGTTTCAAATTCATTGGAAAATTTGAGCGATTATTTCCAATAATTGTGATTTTGTAAGTAAATTTTTCGTAAAATATATACTATACTATAATCTATCTATCTATATATATAAATGTGAATGTCTGTTTGTTTATTACCTTATAACTTCTGAACCGCGGCACGGAATCGCACGATACTTTGCACACTTATTTGCTTTTACCCCGGGAAGGTTATAGACATAGAGAAACTGGAAAAGAGGGCGTGGCACCTCCTATACTAACTAAAATTTTCATGTTGTATATCTCTTGAAATATTTGTGGTAGAGCATTGGAACTTGCTGTCGAGATAAATAAAATTAATTCCATATTCATGCGAAAAATGGGCGGTATTGGAAAAGGGGGCGTGGCACCTCCCATAGCCGTGAATTATTTAATCAGCTCTTACATCGGAACCGCAAGTCACATGAACTTGAAATTTGGTATGCAAACATATCTATGGTAGGTGCTTATAGTAAGGTATATATAAATGAGTTTGTTTAGGGGCGTATCACTTAACATAGGCTTGGAATTTTTTATCAGCCGTAACTTCGGAACCACAAGTCACATGACCCCTTTAATTCCTTCTGGCGTGGGGTGAAACCCGCGGGTAAAAGCTAGTTATTTTATAATATAACTGATAGAATTCAGAATAGTAATTTTAAAATGTTAACAAAAATAAAGGTCGTAAAAAAATTCCCTTTAAAGTTAAGATATTTAAAAACTAAGTACGCATATACATGTACTTCAGAATTTAAGGAAAAAATACAAATAAAATTCCATACGGACTAATATATAATTTTTATTAGAATTTAAGAATAATTAAATAAAGAGAACGGTATAATTTAATTTGTTTTAATATGAATAAATGAAAGACGGAAAATAGTCCTTATTTTTTAAGTTTTAACCGTCATCATATGTGTGTGGTACGACCGTGCGGCCTTTTAAGTTTTACAAATAATAATTTTAAGGTAGAAAAATTAAACTGNACTAATATATAATTTTTATTAGAATTTAAGAATAATTAAATAAAGAGAACGGTATAATTTAATTTGTTTTAATATGAATAAATGAAAGACGGAAAATAGTCCTTATTTTTTAAGTTTTAACCGTCATCATATGTGTGTGGTACGACCGTGCGGCCTTTTAAGTTTTACAAATAATAATTTTAAGGTAGAAAAATTAAACTGAATAATAATTATTAAAATCAATATATTTGATCGAAAAAATAAAAACTAAGTAATAATAATTTCTTTTGAGCGAAAAAATGAAACTGTAATTACACTGGTTTACAGAAAAAATATTTTATTGATGCAAGCTTCATTTAACTGGTGTTGGGTCCCACTGATATATGTATGTATTGGAAATAGTACCCAAAAAGTAGTAAAAATAATCCTAATATTTTCCCCTTTTTCTACTACCCCAAAATGCATGGCCGCAATTGGCATGCAGAAAAAGTGAGGTTATGTAAGTGACATCACCTTATATTTATTTCACCATGGTTACATATTATGTATGTATATAATTTTTTGTCGAATAATCTTCTGTCATCTGCAGATCTAACTTCGGATAACGTTTTTGAAGACTTTTTTTTTTGGAAGTGGCGAGAAAATGTTTTGTTCCCGTTCAACCCGCAAATTTTTAAAGACCTTCGCAATACCGCCCATCCTAACTATTTTTAAATTAGTGCATGGGTACCGTTATCCCGCGCGTCTCTAGTGACTACTAATAAATCAAATTATTGATATTTTTAATATAAACCAAAGAGGAAACTCAAACTCTCGCACTTGAATTGAATATTCTCCAACTCTATCTGTAAATGGTAGTGAGCTCTCGTTTAATAAATGAATTGTTTGCCCTTCTCTTTTCAGAGCCCAGTTATTACACATGCTGTACGTGCAAGACTCGTTACACCTCTGCTTGGCGTTTAATTCAACATGTGCAGCATTCACATGGCGTTAAAATATATGTGGAATTCCCCACGTCTTCATCCCCACATTCCACCAGTTCGGTTTCGGATCCTACGTCATCTACTTCACCGCTAATAATGCATCCACACTCGGCATCAATGCCTGTGGTTGTATCAGCACCGACAATAACCTCAGCGGTATCAACGACACAGTCTTTGCCGTCTTCAGCTTCCACATCATATCTTTATCCGCCCATCAATCATCAATCACAAAAATCTGATAACTCGAGTACAAACTGCAGCATTAGTAGCAAGAGTAGCGGAAGCGGCAACGCCTCCACCAGCCTACCGGCACCAACTTGTAGTGGTCACTCAAATGCTGTCCAACAACAGCAACAACAAATCCAACAACAACTTCAACAACATCGAGTAGCTGTTGCTGCTGCAGCGGCAGTTGAGCAGCATAAGCAACAACAACAAAGCAATCTAACAACAGCAATGCAGAATGCACAGAACCTAGCGGTGGCTGCAGCAGCGGGAATGCGCCATCATAGTCTATTGCCTCCTCCAGACATGCACGCGAATCCGTTCAATCTGCTGAGAATGCCCCTACCACCGTCACTGGCACAAAATCCTGTAGTTCCTACGGTCACACCCCTGTTTTCACGGCCCCATCCCGATCACTATAGAATGGACCAACTGGTAACGGAGCAATTTCGGCATCATGGCCTTAACTTAGCGGCAGCAGCAGTTGCAGCCGCCAACTCCCTTACCTCGCCGCACTCCGGTCCTTCACAATTCAGTCAAGGGAATGGCGCTCCTTCCAGCAACTCGATGGAGCCCAGACCACCCTCGAACAATAACAGCCACCGGGGCTCCGCGCCAGCCACACCTCTGCCACCGCAACCAATAATCATCCCACAACAAAATAACCCGAATCAAGGTGGGCCTCAAGCAGGTATGAATCTTGAACCACAGATGGATTTTTACTCGCAGCGATTGCGTCAGCTTGCCGGAACAACAAGTCCTGGGGCTGGAAATATTGTTAACTCGAGCTCGCCGAGTCCACGACAAAAGCAATCGCCACACTTCGCGAGTCCATCACCATCCCAGCTACCTCCTACTCCAGTAACAAATAATACACGGCCACATTCATTAACTCCACCACATAAGGGCGACTCTTCGAATCAAGAGAACGAAAATATCAACTCAACGCCACGGTCAGCATCCACACCGCCCTCGAAGCCGATTCAAGATAATTCTGCGGTATTCGCCTGCGCTTATTGCGAGAAGAAATTCCGATTTGAAAATAATTTGATTATTCATCAAAGAACACATACCGGAGAAAAGCCGTACAAATGCACAGCTTGTGAATTCGAATGCTCGCATATCAATAAACTGATGAAGCACATGAGGGTTCATCGCAGTCCGGAAGATGTCGCAAGTAATGCAGGCTCTGTGGATTCCAACGATGCTGAAGACTCTGAAGCTGATGCCGATGCTGACGCAGAAGCAGAGGGTGAGGCGGAGGTCGATGGAGAGGAGGATAACTTGGACGAAGACGGTATGGAAGAAGATGAGGAAGATGAAGGTGAAGACGGGGAAGACATCGATTATGAAGCCGAAGATCTAAGTGTCAGCAATCGAATAGATGGAAAAAGCGAAAGCCCTAAGACCACAAGTACCGGCCCTACATCGTTGGTAGGTGAACTGATGGATAAGTTCGGTCTATCGAACATAGCTCAATACTCTGAAGCTTACAAACAAGCATTACAAGAATCTGGAAAATTCAAATACTTAGCAAATAAGGATCGAGACAATAATAACACCAGCAATTCGGGAATATCGCAGATGTCAGATAAATTGAATGGTTTCCCAGCAGCATTACGCCTGAGGGACGAGCTTTCGAAGAACATGTTTCAGCAGTCATCCCAACCTGATGCACCAAGTCAAGTGCCGCTCTTTAATCCGTTTCAAAATCCTTTCGAATTGTCCAAACGTGTAAAGATGGACAACAGCGACTGGTGGAATATGTCGGCATTGCATCGGAATGACTCGATTTTCGAAAATCTTAAAATGAAGCCTTTGGGACTGGGCTCTGCCAACTCCATGCTGCACAACCCAATGCTGAAAAAGGATAATCGCCAACGCAATGACACGTGCGAGTTCTGCGGAAAAGTATTTAAAAACTGCTCTAACCTGACCGTGCACCGCCGCAGCCATACCGGCGAAAAACCATACAAGTGCGAATTGTGTTCCTATGCCTGTGCGCAAAGCTCCAAACTGACTCGCCACATGAAAACCCACGGACGCACTGGCAAAGACGTCTATCGGTGCCGCTTCTGTGATATGCCCTTCAGTGTACCGTCGACTTTGGAAAAGCACATGCGCAAGTGTGTCGTCAATCAGGGCAAGGCAGCGGCAGCAGCTGCAAATGCAGCCAACGCTGTTGCAGCCGCACAAGCTGCAGCTGCAGCCCAACACCTGCAATCACAGCTACCCACGCAATTATCACCTGCTAGCTCGATCTCATCGTTCCCACCTCAATTTGTTGGCATGGCCGGCAGCAACACTGGCAACAATATCTCACTGCCCGGCAGCATAGGCGGAGATAACGAAAGCAGTCTACCCACAAGCTTGCCATCTCACCCCATCTCGTTGAAGGAGGAGGCATGACTTTTTCCCCATTGGATTGGTAGCGCCAGCAGTGGCACGGATAGCGGCATGAGCTACAGTCCACATCATCAGCATTTACAAACGGCGCGATTGTTGCCACCGCAGCATCAGCATCTTCCATTCGATCCCCGCCTTCACCATCAGAACCACAGCTCGCATCCCCTGCCTCAAAGCTCTCAGCCCCATCAATTATCGACAGCAAATCGTATAATGTCCCGCATTTTTTAATATGATTTAACCACTGTTATCAGCACATACACACGCACCCACAAAGGCATGGATATGTAGTACATAGTACTCAAAATAATGAACCAGAAATTATTATGAAGTTTTTGTGAATAAAGGCCCGACCCGATGTATACACACACACACATACATGCATGTATATTTGTATATACATATGTATGCGCATACATATGTACATACCATGGTGAATATGTATTGCTCTACTACGCTCTAAATTTCGCCCCATCTGTTTTCGAACCCAAAAAAGGGTTTTCAACTAGAAATCCTTGCGTGCTGTCGAAGGTACCTTTAATTATCTTCAATAGAGTTTTTCTTTTCTGACCACCACATAGTTTTTTATACAGAGATACAACCAGAGGCATTCGATACCAAAGCAATAATCTAAAAATATAAATTAAGTATACACTAAGTCTCTCACATGTATTCAAATCTGCATACACACATATATTCATATGAAAATTGCGAATGTACATATGTATGTAAATATGTATGCATGAAAATTATACTTAGTATTTTAGTATTTTATTTTAATTTGAGGCCTTACTTGCCTTATCTGACTTACATACTTACATACATAAATAAATATAATTTAATTAATGTGTGAACTCCTCTGAAATCTTTGCACTTTCGTTTTCCCCAGTGTATATTTATTTTCATGCCCAGTGATTGTTGTATGTACACGATTCTTATGTATGTACATAATTGTAATTAAAGCAAAGAAAGTATTAGTAATAAAACGATGACATTTCTTTTGAATTGGTTTTTAGAACAATCTGCCCGTTCGATAATATTCATGTAACTCATTGAAGTTGCATAGGTTTACACAAATATGTACTTGTTAATATTTTATTGTGAATTATTAGAAAATATTTGTATATGAATAAAAAAATGTTAGCACTAAACACAACAATATGTTCGACTTTGGGTTTTGGGTAATCATCCATAATACAACGCAATTAAAAGACAAGGATCTTTAAGTATATTCAAGACTGAAATAATTGCGTGAATATCATTGTTTAAAAACTCTTAAGATTTTAGAACTGGTTATATGTGAAGTATGCATTAGTTGTTATTTGTATTTCTACTCAAGCCCGTTGTAACTCAGAAAAATTTTACTTTTTAAATATTTCTTGAAGAGAATTTTGTTTTTACAACTATTTAGTTAGTATTACAATGAAAACTTCGTTTAGATAAAAAAAAAATCAAGCCAAACCTTGCGGACTAAAGGACTAAATCTTGAGAAAACTTTGTTTACGGCTTTAAAAAAGTTTTGAATATGTAAGGAGATGAATTTAAATCAGTGATAGTCAACCAGCTCAATTACCAATGAGCCCACGTTGCCCATCACTGTTCTAAATGCATCCGAGTATTTTAAAAGAATAGTTATCACTTTGTGAAAGTGTCTTAAAGTAATCACTTTTATTTTTGATTGTACGTGTATGTAAGTAATCAGCTAGAGGCACTCAATTTTAAAACTGATTTCTTTAATACAAAACTGGTTTCTTGCTTTATAATTTCACACATTGCCTTGTTTATGAAAATGATATTGAATTGAGTCCAATAAAACTAAATTATTATTTTGCCTATACGGAGGTTTGTCGATAATAAATCGAACTTGCTCCAAAAGTAAGCATGCATTCTCACATACATACATATAAATATTATGGCAATTCGCTATTTTGTATATTCGTTGTTTCTTATGTAAATGTAACTTAATAAGCGTGTGATTTGTTGTTTCTAGTAGTACAATAAGTACACTTGCAACAACAATCACTCGTTCGTCCAATTACACAAGATACAAAGAATACACAAAAGAAGGAGTACGCATATTGTATTAGAAATTCTTCGTGTATTTAGTATAAAATGTATCCTATGAATGAATGCAAGTGTGAGTGCTTATATGTAAGTATGTAAAATGATTAATGAAATGTATGCGCAAAAAGTACTTATGCGTATGTAAATATGTATGTACATATGTATGTATGCGCGGCAGTTTTAACTGAGTACGATTTTTACTTAACTGAATAATGAGTTGGTTTCGTTATCCTTATTTTGAAGTAAACAATGCAACTAGTTCAGTACATACATACATACATACATATGTACATATTTACGAATACATATGCACATAATAACGACTAAGAGTAGAACTCCACACAAGCTTTTCAGGCAGAGTTCTACTCTAAAAATGAATATTAGCAAACAAGTTGAACTACAACAAATAATTGTATACAGATGTACGTTTATACATACATATATACAAATAATATGTACATATAATATTTCCAATATTTTATAAATGTGTGCAAACATAGTTGTAGAATTATGTAGCTACATACATTGTACACCCATATATGAAATAAGTAAGTGAAAATAAAACTAAAATTGGTAAGATAATTAAAAACCGGATTTTATTTGGGTTATGAACATATATATAGCGCACCAAAGGGAAGGGTTTTCGGGCTCCAACCCCCTTTTAAACTTGTTTAAATGTACACAGTGCAAAGCAAAAATAAAAACTTTTGGCGCTATAGTCAAATCTACATATCGAGGGCTTATTTATATTCAATACCCTCTATCTGCAACTTTCACAGAAACTACTTTCTGATGTGAGAACCCATCTGGAACGTACCTGTCATCACTGATCTTAATTCTGACTTTGCAATGTAATAGTCAGGGAACGGATTTTTAGGACCTAAAAACCTCTAAAAAAGGCAATATAAAATAGCGAAGTAGGCTAGAAACGGCAAAATAAAATAGCGAAATAGGCAAAAGAAGGCACTAAAAAAAAGACAAAAACCGAAAAGTCACGATTGAGAGAAATAGAGGTTGCGTCCATCACGGTACCGCTATTCCTCTCTCAGTGAATTTGACAGAATCGTTCTTTGTATGACGTCACACTTGTGCAACTTGTTTACGTTTTCCTTGCAACATTTTTTCTTCTTCCATTCTTGCTCACGTTTTGGCATTTCTCTCTCGCAATTGCACCAGTGTGACGTCACACAAAAGTTATTCTCAAAAATCCTCTCTGATGTGCGTAATCTTGTATTCTATCATTCTTGCCGAAAAGTAACACTGGACCACAAATTTTAGTTTGGTTTTTGTTCTCCAGACGCTACTATCCAATTTCTATGTAGAATTGCACGGTGATTCCGAAAATCGAGTTAATTTTGTTCTATGGATACGTTTTCGAGATATTTTCAATTTGCCGTTATTCAGCTCAAAACAAAAGGTGGTTCCACTTAATCACGTATATCTTTCGAACCAATTTAACAAAGAAGATACGTCAAATCAAAGCTAATGAAATTCTCCATAAACCATATATACATCACTTTCCGATAGGACTGATAGTTTCTGACAAATTAATTAATCATTCCAGTTTTATTATTTTTTAATGAAAAAATGAGAAAAATCAAACTTTAACAGAAGAAAAATTTAAAAAACAACACGTTCTGTGCCAAATTTTTGCATCTGTGCTAAAGCCTGTTCTGTTTCAATCAAAAATCAAGTTGCTACTGAAGAAAATCGATGTATAATTAAGAAATAATGAGTGGTCAAATGAAATCGCGCAAAGATTTTTTGTATGAAATATGAGCAGAAAAACGTGTTACTCAGGTGTACGTGGTGTATGAGTAACTTTCTTTCCTGCTCATTTTTCATACAAAAAATTGCGTATTTTCTTTTGACCNGATAATTAAGAAATAATGAGTGGTCAAATGAAATCGCGCAAAGATTCTTTCCTGCTCATTTTTCATACAAAAAATTGCGTATATTCTTTTGACCACTCATTATTTCTTATTTATTCATAGATTTTCTTCATTAGTAATTTGATTTTTTTTGTTTTGTTATATAGCAGGCTTTAGCACAAATGCAAAAATTTGGCACAGAACCCGTTATTTTTTAATTTTTCTTCTGTTCAAGTTTGATTTTTTTTATTTTTTCATAAAGAAATAATTGATTATTTAATTTGTCAGAAACTATAAGTCCTATCGGAAAGTGATGTATACACTTAGGGTTGCCAGATTTTGTAAGCGCAAAATCAGTACGTTAAACTTTTTCATGCTAAAAAATCAGTACTTTTCAGTACATTTTTATTCAAAGCAAAATTATCAAAAGTATCCGATAATAATTTAAAACGTCAGAGTACTTGTTTTTAACAATATTTTGATACATAAATGAAATATAGTTCATAAAATATAAAGAGTGTTATTCATTTTAACATGGGTGTACACATCACTGTACACAGAAAACACTAAATTATTTTATATTTATGACACATGAATAGCAATAATGAGATCATTTCCATCTTCGGTCTTTAAATAGGCAAAGAATTCGATACATTAATTTTAAAATTATTTTTAATATGAGTTTTTAATTAGAAGCCGGTTTCTCTCTTTGCGAAGCAAACTTTATACATAAGATCCTCTCAGTTGCTTCGTTTGAGTGTGGTATTAAAAAAAAAAAACAAAATTACATATTTTTCAAACTGTGGAAAAGTACCACTATTTAAAGACTTCATCTATAATTCCTCATGGCTTAAATTAATTTTTTCAACTACGCAAAAACTTTGAAGGACTAAGAACTCGCTAAAAAGAGTATCTAACCATAATGTCAATAAATTGTAAAAAAAGAATTGTAAATTATAGCAAAAGCCATTCGAATATTCAACTTTGTTGTTATTAAACTGAAACTTTTTGACGTAGAATACGTCTTACCTTAAGGTATGGGGGCTATGTTCAAATGTTGTAGTTGTAATTTTTAGAGCTTCACAAAAACGCTTATTGCACGAGAACTAATAAAGCGATTTCAAAGAAAAGTGTGGCGTTTCAAAGATAAAATTCCAAACCTGTCGACAGATTCATTTTTGTAAATAACCAATTCGGTTTCTGTCGTAAAAACAACGGTAAACATTGCCTTATTTTGGGGTCAATTTTGAGCCTTTAAAGTGCTCTAGCAACTTATTGTTGGCATATATAACTTTCATTTTCGGGATATAGGTTCTTTGGAGCAGTAGAAATATTATCGGGTACAAATTTTATATAAATTTAACAAATATTGAGCATTTTAAGGCAAAAAATTGTTGAAAAAATTTGCAAATTTTTTTCATTACCAAAATGCTCGAAAACCGCTCGAATGATTTTGTTTTTGTTTTCTTTAATCAAAAATTCAAGAGTTTTCCTTTCGTTTGGTATATGGGAAGTATTGGTTGATATCTTCTATATATGTTTATTTTATTCAAATATATGGGCATAAATGATTTTCCATACAAAATCACCTCGTCATCATTTTGCAAACACGTGCATATGTTGGAAGTGTGGGAAGGAGACAAAAAGTATGTATGCGTATGTAATGCGGCTTTTGATCGCAGTGTATGTACATATGTAAATGCATATATACGTACATATGAAAGTTTCAGTTAATGTGGATCTGTTTGGTTTTGTTATCGATATTTTTATCGATTTTGTTATCGATTTTGCTATCGATTTTGTTATCGATATTTTTATAGATTTTGTTGCCGATATTTTAATCGATTTTGCCATCGATATTTTTATCGGTTTTGTTACCGATATTTTCACCGATTTTGTTATCGAAATTTGTATCGATGTTGTTATTGATTTTGCTATCGATATTTTCGGAACTTATCGATATAATGATCGATATTTTTATCGATTTTGTTATCGATTTTGTAATCGATTCTGTTATTGATTTTATTATTGATTATTTATCG